CTGAGGAAGGGTCACCGGACCCGAAATGTTAACTCTGTTTTCTCCTCCACAGATGCTGCCAGACCTGCTGAGCTTTTCCAGCAACTTTGTTTTGTTTCATTTAAGTATAGCTTTGTATGAATATGATAAATTCACATCTTGAACTACTTCACAACTATTCAAATTTAAATGTTTGGAGAAAGAAAGAGAGAATCTCCTACCTAAGTGTTTAAATTAATGTATGGATAGTTCAATGGATGTGATGAAATCTACTGCTTTTTAAATGAGATTTGGTGTTCTATTGTGTTTATAGTATATGCAGTGCCAGACTGAGGAATGAACCCTGACTCTAGCTCAACACTCTGAGTTTAGCATTATCACTGATGTTAAGCATGTAAATTCAAGTGTGATGGGTTAATAGTTTAATGGGTTTTAATGTATGTCAGACTGCCCATGACCAAAAAAGTGCCACTTGTGTAACTTTTCCAATATAACACATCATTTTGCAATAATAATAGATTTGAATAGGATTACTGTCATTATGAGGTTAATAAACTGAAATAATTTTCTAAACTCTTGTTCATTGAGATGATACTCATTTAAGTTCATAGAACTCCTACAGTGTGGAAACAGGCCATTTGGCCCATTAACCCTCCAAAGACCATCCCACCCCATCTCTGTAACACTGCATTTCCCATGACTAATCTACTTAGCCTCCACATCACTGGACACCATGTGCAATTTAGCATGCCAATCCACCTAACCTGCACATCTTTGGACTGTGGGAGGAAACCAGGACACCCAGAGGAAACCCAAGCAGACACAGGGAGAATGTGCAAACTCCACACAGACAGTCGCCCAAGGCTGGGATCGAACCCAGATCCCTTGTGCATTGAGGGAGCAGTACTAACCACTGAGCCACCATGTTACAAGTCACAAGTATGAATGCCTGTTAAATATTGATTGTGTTAAATCTCACTGTTTAAACCATTTTAAGAGCAATTGACGTAGAATAAAATTCTTCCTCAAAATATTAATTAATAAACCAAGTCCAGAACTTGTCCTTTTCTATTCAAGTCTAAGGTCTCCCATTTTTGAGTTTAAGTAAATATTAATTGTCTGAATATAAATTTAATTGTCTATAAGCAGTTGGAAGCAGTACAGGGAATGTTTACCAAATTATTATCTAGAATGAATGGGTTGTCTTTTGGGTTGGAGAGGCCAGGATTGCATCCAATCAGGTTTAGAATAGTAAGAGGTGACTTGATTGAAACATAAGATCCTGTGGGGTCTTAACAAGGAGCATGAGGAAAGAATGTTTCCTTCTATGGGATAACCTAAAAATAGGGATCACTGTTTAAAGATAATTTCATGCAGTAATGAGGCACTTTTTTTTTCTCAGTCATGTGTGTTTGGAACTCTTTTCCTGAAAAAGTTGTTGAAGCAGAAACTTTGAATATTTTTAAGGCAGAGGTAAATTGATTCTTTTTAAGCAAAGGGGTAAAATGTTATCAGGGATAAGTGAGCATGTGGAAGTGAGATTATAATCAGATCAGCCATGATCTTATTGCAGGGAGGAGCAGATTCGAGGGGGTGAATAGTCAACTGCTTGTTTGCACATTTAAATATTCATATTCATATTCACAATCAAAATCTAAAAGAATGAGACAGGTTAATATTTCAGGTGGGACTCCTCATTGACTATCATTGTAATTACTCATATATCTTCCCTTGAAGTTGTTGAGATATATATTGAAAAATGTTATGTGTATTGTGAGCAAGGTGCAGAAGATGAGAACAACATGTTAATTTGCAATAGTAATGTTATCTTGTACATGATCAAGGGGATTGACTCTAGGGAAAATTTCATCGTTAAATTGTATTTCAGTACTTCATCCCAGCTGTCGTTTCATTCTTGTAAGAATAAGATCAGAATATGACTGCCTATCATTATTTTCATTTATTCTTTACTATTCTATAAAATATCTATTGCTAATTTCTAAAAGTTGTTCATCTTTTCACTAGTTCTACTGATTTGAAAGTAAATCCCATTTTAATAATAGATGTCCGTTGGAAATGAAAGTGAAGAAGTTCCTCTGTCTATAACACATCAACCAGCCCACATGGATGACAATTTGTGTGACCTTGTTGAGCTGTCCATACAATACAGATAAATTATCATGTTTGAGTCACTGCATCATTTCCCTTCTTCATCATTTCTGACTTATCGAGTTATGTTTCCAAGTTTATTAAATTAAGTATATGTCTTTATTGGACTTCCAAATAGTAAATGTAGATAAAATCATGCTGTTGAATTTTGATTTGTCCATTGTGCCCACAAAAAGTACTAAGAACAAAAAGTAAATAAATACTTCTATAAACTCTGTGAAGAGAAAAGCATAAGTTTCAGATATTAGACAGTACTTACTTGTAACTTGAGAAAGTGGTTTGTGAGAAATATTGCATGAGAAACATCTGTCAGTTTTGAACATATTCAATTGTTGGTTTGAGAAGGGTTTTGGGAGGCCTTTCTATTTTATGTATGGTTTCATTTTAATTCAGAAGCTGCTGTAAAGTGATTAAATTAACCACTTTCAGATAACCTCGCTATAATCCTCATTCTGCATTCTGTTATTTTCTAAGCTTGGTTTCATGCTGGATGGTGTAACAATCCTGAAATGTGGTATTAAATGAAATTCTGCCGTGTCATGAATACATTAACATTTGAATCTAAATTCTCCACCATGTCAGCTAATAAAATAGTATAAATGAACCACGTTTGCTATAAATAATTGTCTATTAATACTGTGGCACTCTGCAGCAAATTAAAGTCTCACTTGACTGAACACAGCTGTAGCAGAAAGACCTAGCTCACAATGAAAGGTGATTGCATGGGAAGTACTATTAAAGCCTCAGTACCTTTTTCTTTCATATTTAGGCACATTTCAGACAATTAATATTTATTTAAACTTGAAAACAGGAGAACTTAGATTTTAATAGAAAACGACATGTTCTAGACTTGGTTTATTAATTCTTATTTATGAGAACATGGAATTTTATTCTATATCTATTGTTCTTAATGTGGTTTAATCGGTAAGATTTAATGGAAGAAGTATTATGATTCTGAAAAATTATTGTAGGTACATATAAAATTATATATTTAATAAATACATAAATGTGTTTTTGGCCACATGAATGAAAGATTAAGATTTGTTATATTGCTTCAGGGTATAAATCAAACACATACCACTGCGCTCTGTGGCATATAGCACTTAAGATACTAATGGATCTCCTATGCCATTGCTACTGGTAATTTGGTTGACAAGGATAGAAGTGTAATAGCATAAAATGAACATTGTATTATTCTGCTGCTAGGTTGGATTACAATCCCAATTTGTAGCTAACTTTGATAGCATTGAAGCATTTGTAACACAATATACAGTATTAGTTGATGTATTTATTTAGAAAATATTATACAATTTTGAGAGAAATTTACATTTTGAATGGTCAAATACTGTCAAGCTGGAGCATTCTGTCCTAAGGTAGTCATGTTAGTTAGACACATTGGCAAATGTTGAGGGCAGATGTGGATCCATATTGAGTCTCCCAAAGGCTTCAAGCATGTTGCCAGAAAAATCTAATCATAGAAGAGATGAATTGCTTCTGAATCTCGATAAACTTAAACTCGTCCAAATCCCTGCTGCCTGTATCACAACACATTCCAAATCCATTCACCATCAGCCCTGTGCTCTCTAATAGATATCTGTTTTCCATTCAGCAATGTCTCATTATAAAATTTTCATTCTCATGTTGAAATGCTTCCACAGTTTTGCTGTGACCTTCCCTGTCATTTTCTGAAAACTCTGCAATTCTGATCTTGTGTGCACCTTCACCTCCTTTGTCTCACAATTGTTAGCTATATCTTCAGCTGGAGGACCTCATGGGACCTTGGCTCCAGAATTACCTTCCTAATCTTTGCTGTCTCCCCAACTCTCTCTTTTCATTTACAACTCTCCTCAAAAGCTACCACCTTAGAACCAGCATTTGTTACTTTTTCTAATTTGGCTTGGTGTCAATTTTTATCTGATTATGCTCCTGTAAATCATATTGGGTGGAACTTTCTGGGCCCATGTGCAGCTTTTAGATTCCTTATATCCTTCTTTCTCAACCTTATCTCTGTTACATTCATTAGCGTTCTACAGACACCCCAGCCAAATAGCAGTACACTCACAGATGCATTCCTTGTTAGACAAGAACAGGAACTGCATAATCTCACAATTGGACTATACACACTAGAAGTGTAGCAGGCAGGTTATACTTCTTCCTCATAGCTGCAGTGAGTACAAACTTCTTCAACACCTTGGCTCCATCATAACTAAACTCTTTCTTTACACAAACTCTTACAGTATAAGCCTGACGGGGTCAAGCAACTCGTGAGAAGTCACAGTCATAAGCATTCTTGTTTGTAGTTCTTAAGCACATACAATGTAAAGGTGGCACCTCACTGGATCTATAAACCAGCCCATGTGAGGCAGTCACACTGGCTAACATCAGCAGCCTGCCCAGGCCAGGCAAATACAACTTCATTAACAAGGCAACCAGCTCAAAAGGTTCAAACAAAGGTGAATTTGGTAGAAAGTAATGGTAGGGAATGGAACTTAAAGAGTGTGGTTGTCATGGGCACTGGATGTACCTTGGGGAATATAGGGAGGAAATTGAGGCAGAGGGGAGATAGCGGCAAGGGCGTCAAGGAAATGTGGGAGCAGAAGATCTAAGCCTGGGAACGCAATGGATTAGTTAAGTGGGTACAAATGAACAGATGAAAAATTACAGCACATCAACAGGCCCTTTGGCCCTCCAAGCCCGTGCCGACCATCATGCCCTAATTAATCTAAAAACAAACCTGCCATTTTTCGATCCATATCCCTCTATTCCCTCCCTATTCATGTACCCATCTAGGTGCCTCTTAACTGTCTTTACATGAAAAAGGAATGGTATAAGGCTAAAGCTAGGCAAAGGGATCTGTGTAGGACTAGGATCGGGGTAAAAAGGATGTATATCAAGGGAGATAGGGAAAGGGCTGATAGTCACAGAAAGAGATTGAAGAAGGACAGTTGAGACTCAAGTGGAACGGACAAGGCTATTTACAATGATGCGTAGAAAAGCAGATTATGGACCAGGAGGTTAGAGGGTGAACAAATCAAGTGAAAAGTTTGGAGACACTGTTACTCTTGCTAATCAACTTACAAAAGAAGACTTCACAGAGAAAGGGAGAAGACCATGATCTGTTTGCAAACACACCCATCTAAAGGAAGCAACATAGAAACTGAAAAATACTACCTTATGAGCACTCAGTTCAAGGCTTAGCACTGAAGGGAAGCATGTACTGCAGAATAAAGACAGTCAAGTTTTATCATCTCCTAACACAACATCCAACCGTGACCGTGTTTTGTTTAACTCTAGAATAAAAGGATCCCAAAGTCCACTACTAGTGGTCATGTTTGTAATGGTGCTAGTGGTGGGGGCTTATTCCATCTGTGTTTGTGCAAGAGCATTCACAGACCTTTGGGGATGGAAGTGTTATACAGGCTGTAAATTCCAAGGTTGTAGAGCTGTACCACTGGAGATAATGAAAACCATCAAGATTCACCAAGATCTTACACATGGTAGAGTGAGGAAGAGGTAAAACAGTCATGAGTCATGGAAGATGTGCCTTAAAATGAAGAGGAGGCTGCAGGACAGGATTTCATCCAACACATGCGGAGCCTGAAAAGGTGCCAAAGGGTAGCTTGACTAGTTCAAGATCTCAGCTGGATAACCAGCATCTCATTCCTGGTATCTCTTCACAAATCAGCACTAGATGGTTCCTAACTTAACCGAGCTAGCATTGCTGAGGTTACAAAGGGGAGGTCAAGGAGAAGAAAGAATGCTCACTGCCAACAGAACCAGAGACATAGGCTCAGCTGGCGGCAGTGGTGAATGAACATGCAGTGGGTGATGAATGGAACCAGGGTATTCAATGCTGTCATGCAGTGTACTGAGAAATGAGAAATACACAGAGCTGATGAGTGAAAGGCAGTGCTGGAGATGTCTTCATAAAGAGTCATAGAGTCATACAGTATGGAAACAGACCCTTTCATCCAACAAGTCCATGTCGAATATAATTCCAAACTAAACCAGTCCCAACTTCCTGCTCCTCACCCATATGCTTCCAAACCTTTCCCATTCATGTACTTACCCAAATGTATCACCTACATCTGCCACCCCCTGCAGGCAGTTATGTAATTTGGGAGGCAACATAGTGTCAGTGGTGATGAAGGTGAGAGGTGCATTAAACTTCCTCACCAGCCTCTTTCAAACCTGCACCAGGGACGTGTGTGGCATTTCCCAACTGGCAGCCCAAAGGTGCAATCATGAGTTCACTGATGCCTTTACAGGAGAGCAATTCAGTTCGTTCAGTTCACCATGGAGCCAGAGAGCCAAGCTGCCTGAGCAGAGGGGTTTGCAGCTATTGCTAATTCCCTCAGGTTCAAGGGGTTACTGAGTGTTCCCATGTGGCAATGAAACTCCCTGGCATCATCCAGCCAGACTCCTGAACACGAAGAGATTACACTCACTCAATGTCCAGCTCCTTTGGAACCACAGGCAACAATTCCTGCAGGTGTGTGCCCAGTATCCAGGCAGCTGTCATGTTGCTTACGTTTAGCATGACCCCCAGGATCCTCAAATGTTTCCTCCATCACTGCATCATCTCCAGGGCTGGCTTGTGGGTGACAAGGGGTACCCCTAGAAAAGGTGAAAGACATTGCATGAATATATGTGGCAGTCTGAGCAATGAGCCAATTATAGTGCAGAAAAATTCCTGCCCTCAAGGGAATGCTTGCTTTTTACCTTTGAAGCATTAAAATTATTTGTTTGCTATTTATTGCAAGTTAATTCATTCCCTCGGCACCAATAACCTCGTGTTCAGTTTCCTGACCAAAGGATCAGCATGGAACTATGCAGGATTACAGGGGCAGGTCTGCAAGTATATGTCTCAAATCTCAGATGGAAGGGGTATTCATCTATTACAGAGATGTAGAGGGGCTAACATTGAGTTTAGGTTCCTGTTTTCCAGAGGTTATGTTCCTTTCAGAAAGAAGCAGAGAAAGACAGTCTCTATGCTCAGTACACTGTTCCATATGGTGGAACATCTGCAATGATCAGTGTCCTCAAGGTAGTCTACAAAGAAAACACAAATAGTCAGAAGCCTTAACAGATTGAAAAAGGCCACAGGACTGTTATACACATGTCTATTTTTGTGTCATGTCATGTTGCACAGAAGGTTGACATCCAAAATGACTGCAATACTTAATCTTTCTTTCCCTGTTGTTACATTTTGGTGCCATCTCAGCAGCTGCAGCTCAGCTTGAGGAAACCTGCTGATTGCTTTTCAACTTGCCTGAGAGCACATCAACAACCCTATTTTCTGGTTGTCCCGGGCCTACAGGCTCCAACCGACTGGGGTTCTTCTGCATTGGTGTAGATACAACTTTCTCGACCTGACCTGATGATGGTGTTTGTGGCAGGTCACCTCTGAAGTGTCCTGAGATGACAGTTCCTGGGTGCTGGTCTGTCACTCCTCCTCCATGTCCATACACAATGGCATCTCCCTCACTCCTTGAGCAAATTGGGCACCTGGAGGGATGTCAAGATACCTTGGGCCTCCTCTTGTCAAGCCAGTGAATGAATGCATCCATTGCTCAAGTGATGGGGGGAAGATCCCTGCACAGTTCTGGAAGGTATTGACAGTTCTGCTGGACCTGGCTTTCCACGGTGACTGACAACAAGTCGTAGAGGAAGCCACATGCTCGCACACCTGCTGTGACATTAGTCAGAGCTGCCCTTCGCTTCAGTCTGTGTTTGGTTTCTGAAGCCTTTGCCAGCTGTTCCCCTGCTCGCTTTAGCATCTCCATGAGCTCATAATGGCAAATCCAGAGGCTTGTCATCTGTACTGAGCTCTGAATTGGTACCTGTGTTTGTTCCCCAGTAATCTTCTAAGTGCTAAAGATCTTGGCCACTTCTTCTCTCTCTAGCTGAGAGCCTGTGTCTGTGCTGTTCTCACTAGAATGTGGACCTGAGCCTGATCTAAATAGATTATCCACTGAGGTGAATGTCTCTGTGCTGGTGGAGGGTGGAGATGAAAGCCTTGAAGGTATAGCCCATGAGGCCTATGACTATTCCTTATCGCAAATGTTTCTTGAGGAACTGCTGGAGATGGGTCTGGGAGCTGGGGCTACTTGTTATTTGTCATGGCTTGGGAGTGAAATCCAGAGGCTGCACAGAAAAGTGTTGTGAGTTGCCACCCTCATCTAAGGTTCCATTAAAATTTTGTTTTTGATATGTAGCTGGGAGGAGCAATTTGGAAACATTCTCACTAGATGCCTGTGTATATCCAAACTCATCTTCAGCATTGACACATTCTCTTTACTCTCGTGCCAGCTCAATGTTCTGTTGCTCGAAGGGAGTCAGACATTCTGCTGCTGCATCCCAGTGTAGACCTGTTCACAATTAAAGCATATTCTTCTCTTGCAAAAGGAAAGAAACTTTAAGAGACTTTAGCATGGGATTTTGACCATTCTGCCTACATTATTAAATGTAGATGGAGGTGTCATGCCCCAGAACTGTGATTATGTGTGTTACTAATGTTGCAAAGTTGGGTAGGGTACTTATGGATTAGAAGGCAGGACGTTAGAACTTGCTGTGTGTAAAATTCTAGGAGGGGAATGCAGTGCATGGTCCCTTTAAAAGATGATGTGTTTTTCTGTGCTTATTAGGAATGTGAAAAAGATGTCCGTGAGCAGCAGCAGATTGTTGGTTTGCAGGTGCATAGAGTGCCCAAATTGAAACATTTGTATCAAAAGGCTGTACAGGGAGCAGGCCAAGCAGCAGCTTTGTTTTATTATCAAGAAAACAGGTTTTGAATTGAGCCAATCAATTTGAATCAGATACTTAGAGACTAAAAACCAATTAAATTTAAATCTGATGGTTTTGACAACATAGGGCCAATCCTATTATAAGAAATTGATATGTCATCAAGGATATAAAAGGAGAGGGCAGTTGGAAAGTCAGGAGAGCCAACTAGCATCTGCCAAGAGAACAGCTCTCAGCTCTAAAAGAAAGAATCACTGGCTCTCACAGAATTCTCTAAGCCTTAAAGTAAGCTCCATCTAAATTAAAGATATTTAAGGCACAAGTAGTTAATGTTCAAGAGAGTAAATTCTAATTTTTAAAATTTATTTTATATAAGTGGGACTTGTATTTATTGGAACAGCATACCATTATAATCTTGTTTAATTTGGGAATAGTTAGAAGCTAGAAGGGGTTCATTCAGTTTGTTAATAGTGTAGTTAGTTTGTTCACTTTTATAGTTAGATAAATAAATTGTTACTTGTTGATGATAAAGAGAGTTTCAGGGGTTAAGTTTTATTTAACCATTCCTTTATAAGAGATTGGGGATCTTTTAATGGATGACAGGACGTGGCGCACCTTTCTGGTGGTTCGGTTTTAGTTACCAGGGGGAGGGTCAACCTCCGCTTTACAGCAGATTCGGGACTCACCATAATCAGCTTAGGTCCATGATCTGGACAGCTCTGGTCCAGGATCTGGTCAGATTGGGACGGAACAGGGCTGGGATCTGAACGTATTTGGATGAATCTGAACAGATTTGGACGAATCTGAACAGATTTGGACAGATCTGAACAGATTTGAGATACAAAAGTTTCCAGCAAGTTTAAACCAACTTGGTGTTAGAGTCCTAGAACTTTAAATAAAACTTAAGTGAGAAGTGGAAAATCTGTTTAGTTTTGGTTGCTTCTTGTTGGTTAACTTAAAAGTGGGAAAATGGCTCTTAACATTGCTAAAGCGGTCCTGGGGGTCAAAGATGCTTCCCAAATTTGCAGTTTAGATAGACAGAGTTTAGAAAGTTTAAATAGACAGAGAAAGGGGACACTTTTAGAATTACCAAACAGGCTGGAACTGGGCTTAACTAGGAATAAGAGGAAAGCTGAAATTGTAATGGAGTTAGCCAAGTAATTAGGTATATCAGAGAAACAGCCAAGTGCAGAGGAGTTAGAAAAAACTAAATTGCAAATGAGAGAATTGGAGTTCGAAAGGGAAAAAGAGAGGGAAGAAGGGCAACTGAGACAGTTTGAATTAACGTTACCTGCAGAGGTAATACAAAAAGAAAAAGAATGTTTGAACTTTGAAATTAGACAGGATATCCAACTTAAAATGATGAAAATGAAGGTAGAAGATAGGCTTAGTGAGGGGGAGAGTGATGATGACCTGGTCGGGATATATACAAATATGTTAAAACATCACCAAAATTTGAAGAAAAAGATGTAAAAGCCTTTTTCATTTCCTTTGAGAAATTGGCTAAACAGATGAAATGGCCGGAGATTGTGTGAGTAATGTTAATTCAGATCAAGTTGGTAGGCAGGACGAGTGAGATATTTGCAGCACTGTCAAAGGAGATGTCTGGAGACTATGAAGAGGTAAAACAGGCTATTTTGAATGTCTATGAATTGGTACCAGAAGCACATAGACAATGGTTCAGAAATATAGGAAAGAAACCAGGTCAGACTTATATCGAATTTGATAGAATTAAACAGACCAACTTCGATAGATGGATGAGAGCATTAAGGAAAATAAAAAGACATATGAGGATCTTAGAGAGTTTAAAAACTCACTTCCAGAAGTGATAAGAACTCATGTTGAGGAATAGAAAGTTAATATAGTGAGAAGAGCTGCAGAAATGGCTGATGAATACACATTTGGTGCATAAATCGAAATCTAGCTTCCAACAGCAATTTCATTCCATGAGGGATAGAAATTGGGCAAGGGGGAGATCTTTCAATGAAAAACAAAAAGTAGATTACACAGGAAACAGTTTACCACAGGTGAAAAAAGAAACCCAAGAGGGTGGGAAAGAGGTAAAAGACCCTAGGTATTTTCGCTGAAATAAGGTGGGACACACAAAGTCATGGTGCTTCTTGGTAAAAGAGGCTAAACCAGAGGGGTTAGTTGAGGTAGTGAAGGAAATCCCAAGAGAAGTCAAGGAGCTGCAAGAGAGTGCACAGCTTAGTCTTGGGCTGGAAAGTAAGATAAGACTTCACCTGTGTGGGTAAGGTTTACTCAGGTAGAACTGGGGGAGTAGGTAAACAAGTTAAAATATTGAGAGAAATAGGACCTGGTCAGTCTGTAATAATAAAGGATGAAAATATTTGCACTCCTTCTGAAATATCGCTCGAGAGAATGATAATCTGCGGAATAAATAGAGAGAGAATTAGCGTTTGTGTACAATAAGGCTATAAAATCCAATCAAAACTGGGGAAGTGATAGTGGGAATAATTGAAAAAGTGGCTATTCCAGGAATACAGTTTATTCTTGGAAACGAAAGAGGCGGATCAAAGGTGGGAGTGATGCCCCCTGTAGCAGAGAGGCCAAAAGAAAACCAGGGAACTGCGGAGTTAAAAGGAAAATATGCTGGAATTTTTCCAGATTGTGTGGTGACAAGATCCCACAGCCATAAGTTAAAACAAGAAGGGAAAACAAAAGAGAAAGATGAAGGATTTGAGGTCCAGTTAGCTGACACTCTGTTTGATGAAATGGTAAACAAAAAAACTAAGCAGTTAGAGGATCACGCAGAGGTATTTAGTTCTGAAAGATTAATGGAGTTACAACAAAAGGATGAGATGATAAAGAATTTATATCATAAAGCGAACTCTGAAAAGAAATCAGAATGTATTCCAGAATGTTATTACCTTAAGGATAAAATCTTAAGGCGGAAATGGAAATCTCGGCAGGTTTTTGCAGATGCCAAATGGGCAGAAGTTCACCAAATTGTGTTGCCGGTAGCATACTGACAGGAAATATTGTGGGTAACACACAAATTACCTGTAGGAGGTCACCTAGGAGTGAGGAAGACTCAGGCTAAGATACAGAAGCATTTCTATTTGCCTGGTTTACATAAAGATATGGTTGAATTTTGCCGTATCTGTCATATGTGTCAGATGGTAGGAAAGCCACAGGCAGTAATAAAACCAGTGCCTTTAATGCCAATTCTGGCAGCAAATCGAGCATGGACTGGGCCAAGTCCCAGAGCAATGGAGAGGCCGTGACCCCGTAGTCAAGGAGGGGCTGAGACCCCGGAGCAACAGGGGCCGAGTCCTGGAGCGAGGGGCCAAGTCCCTGCAGTGATAGGGAAGGGAGGCGTTGCTGAGTACCAGAGTGAGGGGCCAAGTCCCCGAAGTGACGCTGGGGCTGGGCGCCTGGAACAATGGAGGGGCCGAGTCCCCGGAGGGACGGTGGTGTCGAGGTATGAACCTCGGTACAGCATGACTTACCTTGTTGCTGCTGAGTGCCAGTGAGGAGTGGATGGAGACTAGAATGATGCAGGGCGATTGCTGGACTTGGGCCTGGTACCAAGTGCTGAGTTGCTGTTGTCGGACTTTAATTTAAATTTAAATTTAAATCCTTTTTACTATGCTATAACTACCTCTTGTAAGTAATGTTTATGCTTTCCTTTAAGCCTCCTTGTATAACAATACTTTCTTTTTTACTCTGTAAGATTTGTACCTAAGTACTTGTACTTACTTGTACCTAAGATAGCGCATTAAAAGGCAGCCATTGTAAAAACTTTTCACTGTACTCCTATACTTCTGTATTGGAGTACAAGTGACAATAAAAGATATTCTATTATTTTCTATTCTATTTGAAGAACTCATGCAGGTTATGATTGATTGTGTACGTCCCCTCCCTAAAACCAAAAGTGGGAACCAATATTCACTAACCATAATGAATGTGCCTACCAGGTTTCCAGAGGCAATTCCATTATGGAATGTCAAGGCAAAAAAGGTTGTGGAGGAGTTGCTTGCTTTCCTTACCCATTATGGACTACCCAGGGAGATTCAGTCAGACCAAGCGTCCAGTTTTACTGCCAAATTAATTAAAGGGGTCATGGATAGTTTAGGCATCAAACACTTTAAATCAAGTGCATACCATCCTGAATTCCAGAGAGCATTAGAAATGTGGCATGAGACCCTAAAGTCCATGCAGAGGGCTTATTGCCAGGATTACCCAAATGACTGGGATAAAGGTTTCCCATTTGTATTATTCGCTATTAGAGATGCTCCAAATGAATCAACTCAGTTTAATTGATATTCAAATGGTCTTTAAAATTAATTAAGGAAAAGATGATAGGTCCAAAGTCAGCAATCTCACAGTTTGATTATGCATCTCAGGTGAGAAAAAGATTAAACAGAGTTGGTGAATTAGCTGGACAGCATCTAAAGGTGGCACAGCATATAATGAAGCAAGAAGCAGATAAGAAATCTAAAATTCGTACGTTTTCCCATGTGGAAAGCATATTGGTGCTGTTACCAGTGGTAAGAGATCCCTTCAAAGCAAAGTTTAGTAGTCCCTATCAGATTGAGAAGAAGTTAAGTCAGGTGAATTATCTGGTAAAGATGCCAGATAGGAAAAAAACATTTTTGGTATGTCATGTGAACGTGTTGAAACCTTACTATGACAGGGAAAGGGAGCTGGAGAAACAGGTATAAGTTACCGCCACTCCAAGTGAGGAATCAAATCCAGATGATTTGGATTTTGATGTGCCTCAGAATAAATTGAATAATGAGGAAGTCCTTAAAGAATGGGACAGGGTAGTGAGCTATCTGACCTCATAACAGAGAACTGAATTGAGAGACTTGTTACAGTGCTATAAGGACATATGTAGAAATAGAATGAGGAGGACTAATACCTAGTACATGAGATTGACATAGGGAATGCTATTCAGATAAAACAACACCCCTACTGGCTTAATCCTCTCAAAGCAGTGCAGGTTCAGAAGGAAGTGGAAGTGATGCTCCAAGAAGATATCATAGAGCCGAGTCAAAGCGAGTGGAGTTCACCAGTCATGTTGGTTCCCAAACCAGATGGTACTCAATGATTCTGTGTAGATTATCGGAAGGTCAACATCATGACCAAATCTGACTCATACCCAATTCCAATGCTGGAGTACACTGTGGAAAAAGTAGAACAAACCACTTACATCACAAAGTTAGACTTATTTCACGGTTATTGGCAATTACCTTTGTCGGAGACAGTGAAAGAAGTTTCTACTTTTGTAACCCCAAATAGGCCATATCAATTTAAAGTAATGCCCTTTGGAATGAAAAATGCACCAGCCACATTTCAAAGACTTATGAACAGCGTTATTGCAGGATTGACTAATTTGTGCTGTCGACATAGATGATTTAGTGATTTTTAGTCATTCGTGGAAAGATCACATGGAACATTTGGCAGAGCTCTTTAAGAGGCTACAGATGGCAAAGTTTGTAACAGAATTCACAAAGGCTGAAGTGACGCTATTAGGGCACAACATTGGACATGGATAGATAACATCAAGGAACATGAAGACGAAAGCTATCGAGGAATTTCCATGACTATCCTCGAAAGAGGAAGCGCTATGATTTTTAAGACTGAGCGGGTTCTACAGGAAATTTGTACCAAGCTTTAGTAGCATTGTGGCACTGCTGATGGATTTGTTAAAAAAGAACATGAAATTTTGGTGGACAGAACAATGCCAGGAGGCTTTTGAGAATTTACAAGCTGTGTTGATGACCGCACCAGTTTTAGCCATGCTAAATTTCTTGAAACCCTTTATAGTCGTCATCGATGCAAGGGATATAGGTGTTGGAGCCGTATTGTTACAGGAGAACGAGTGTGTAATTGAACAATTATTGTTCAAAAAAACTCAATATCCACCAGAAAAAATATTCAACCATTGAAAAGAGTTATTGAATTTGGTATTGGCCTTACAGCATTTTAATGTTTACATTGCAAGTAATGCATCAGAGACCGTGGTGTGCACCGATCACAATCCTTTGACATTTCTGCAAAGATTTAAGGACAAGAACACCAGATTATTTCATTGGAGTCTTATATTACAAGCATTCAATTTACAGATTGTACATGTTGTGGGTTGTGAAAATAGCTGGGGCTATTTTCTCTGGAGCATCAGAAGCTGAAGGGTGACCTTATAGAGGTTTATAAAATCATGAGGGGCATGGACAGGGTGAATAGCCAAGGTCTTTTCCCTGGGATGGGGTGTCCCAAACTAGAGGGTAAAGTTGTAAGGTAAGACAGGAAAGATTTAAAAGAGACCTAAGGGGCAACTTTTCACACAGAGGGTGGTGCGTCTTTGGATTGAGCTACAAGAGGAAGTGGTGGAGGCTGGTACAATTACAACATTTAAAAGGCATCTTGATGGGTATATGAATACAAAGGATTTAGAGGGATATGGGCCAAATGCTGGCAAATGGGACTAGATTAGTTTAGGATATCTAGTCAGCATGGAAGAGCTGGACCGAAGGGTCTGTTTCTATGCTGTGCAGCTATGTGACTCTATGACTGTACCCAAGCCCCTGTTAGATGGTATTTTGATAGAAAGCAAAATCAAGTATTATAGGTGCTCACAGGAGAAACCTGCTATGATCTTACTGATCCCAAGAGAATGCTTTGGGTTCAAATGACCCATTCTTGCTCTTAAGCCTTATATTCCTATGAATACTGTTTTAGTGTTAATACTGCTCGGGAAACATTTCTCCATTCATTTCAATGAAGCTTATTGTGTTTGTGTGTAATGCTTGTGGTTTCTACCTACACTTGCAGTTTTTATACACAATGTACACTTCAGCAGCAGGTTAACAGTCCCTATTCTCTAGTTTACAAATGCAAATTTGTTAATTACCCCTCTAAACAAATCTGTTAAACACCTCATTATTCAATATCCACCAGCCTAAGCAGTTTATAAGTCATGCTTAAGTCCCCTTGCTATTTTAAATGTGGAACAGTGCTTTTTTTTCCATTACTGGAATCACTGTATCACATGTCCCATCATTTCACTCTTTATAGCCTCCATTTTGGCCATTCTTTTTTCTTTTAGTAGGTATTCTGCATTGCAAAATACATTTTTTTCAGCAATTGCATTCAATGCTGCAAGAACAGATGCACCTTTAGCTTGTAGAACTGATCCTGTCAACTTTCTGTTCCCTCCCAGTCAGAGAGCACTCCACTGTCAAAAAATGTTCCAATTGACAAGTGATGAAACTCAGTCTTTGGAGGTTGCAGATGTTATCATTTCAGAATGGGTTTTGGATTGGGCTTTCTGAATGTGACAGCAATTCTGTTGCACTGCAATTATATTTATTTGCTATTTTTCACATTTGCTGTTGTATAACACAGATAGGCTTTGAAACAAATTGGGCAAAATCATTTTAAAAAAAAAGGAAAATATTGTAATGGTCTGGAATACTGTGAAATCAAAAACAACAAACGCACCCCTAAGGAGGGTGTCTACGTTTTTGTTTCTGCTGCTCCAATGACTGATTTCAGTAATTTGCATTCATTCTGTATTACACTTGAATGATAATGTACCTCCAGATAGAACCTGGGGTCTCCCAGTGTTCATATCAAAATTATCAGTGTGCTGCAATCTAGGGAATTCATTTCACTTGGCACTGAAATTTCCACCGTACATTATGCCAATGATGCTTTCTGCATATGAACAATTCTCCTCTTCTCCTTGTTCACAGAACAGCCAAAGGACATTTTTTGAGATATCTGGGGAAAATTGATCGAAGGCAAGATGAAAATTACTATAGTAATTTCTAACTGATCATAAAACTGATAAAATGTACTGTGATTTTTTAAAAATAGATTGGGGCAAATTTCATGATTATTGCATTTTTCTGTTTACAGTTTAATTAATTCATTACCACAAAGTACAGCCAAATTCATTTCCTAGTTCCAGAAGCCAAAATGTGAATCCTTGTTTGCTAGAATGTGCTAAGGTCTTTCTATACGTGGGTCTGAATAAAATGCCTAATTATGAGCCAATGTTTATTTATTGGTTCACAATGCAATCCTTGTATTTTAATTCATTCCGTAGATCTGAATAACATTCTACAAGCAAATGGTGAATGATTAAAGTATTAGGAATACTTTTTAAAACATCTACAAAACGATAAATTCAGTAGTACCACGGAACTGAACAGTGCAATGGTATTAGTATTTGTATAAAAATGCAAGGTAATTGACTGTTATGTAGTAAAGTTTCACTGAACAAATAGTAAAAAAATGCCAAACAGCTCCTCTGTCGTAGTAAAATTTTCTGTAAGAAATGTCAAATATCAGAAACATTACTTCTTTTTTCAAAGCATGGGAAACTCTATTTTAAAAATTCCTTGATAAGACCATTAAATTTTTTTTTATAGAAGAGCATTGCAGAATCCCGATAGTCTCCTGTAAAAACTAAATTATAAATATTCGGTCTCTAACCTTTTCTTATTGATGTTTGACTGCTGGAAAGGAGCAGCTTTACATGTATGCACACCATCAACCCTTTAAGTTCACAGAACACAATATACAAAACTGCATAAATTATCTTGCTTCTTGATTCTACAATGAATCAACCATCTGGTCTAATACCATTTCGACAGTGATATAAGACTGAACATTCCACGCCTGGTCTAGTGTGTGTAGAGGAACATATTTTAAAATGTCAGGATACATCAGCTACATATTTAGTATTATTTATATTCATAAAAATTAATAGTACAGGATAGATTGAGATTCAAGACCTGCTTAATCACACTTGCCTATGTTGTGTGAAATGTTGAAATCATTAAAAACCCAAACATGTTTGCTTTGCTTTGTGCTACACTCAGCTTTAAAAAGGGGAAAAAAAAGACTGACTTGACTTAACATTAATAACACTTCGGCCTCAATTCAACTCTCTGGCACAAACATATAACTGCTAATTATACCAGTCCAAATACATTTTGTGCGAAAGGGCTAATGCTTTCAGTTTTACCCTTCTTACCTTCTTGGTAATAGAGACTGGATTGACCAGACAGCTGGAGTAGAAAGTGAGTTGTTTTAGTACACAAGGCAATCAACTCCAAAAGGTCCTCTTCACACAGATACTGCTAAAACACATTATACGTATCAAGAAAGGATGAACAGGCTGGGTTGATTTATCTTGAAGAAAGAAAGCTGAGGGGTGACCTTGTAGATGTATGTAACATAATAAAAGCTTTTGATGGAGTGAATACAGAGAGAATATTTCCTGTTGAGAACAAAAGCATAACTAGTGGTCATCAACATAAGTTATTTACCAACAAATCCAATAGAGAACTCAAGAATCTTTTTACCAAACTGTGGTGAGAATGTAAAAATCCCCATGTCAGGGAGTAGTTGAATCAAGTTATATAGATGCAGGTAGGGCGTAGCTAGATAAGCATGAGAAGGGGAAGGGATTATTTGGCTATGAAGATATATTTGGGTAAGGAAATGTGGAAGGAAGTTCAAGCGGACCATAAACGCCAGTATTGATTTGTTGGGTTAGTTGGCTTGTATCTGTGCCTCATCTCCTATTTAATCCTATGGAAAGAAGAAAGAAAAACAAAGGTGAGGCAGACCCCACAAAGGCTTTTCATTAATATCTTTCCTTAGTGCATTAACAGCTGGCTTACATGAGACAAGGAGCTTGGTATTTATGTTCCTGGACTCATAATGCAGAGGTCTGGACTAATGATCCAGAGGCATGAGTTCAAATCCCATCCTAGTAAATGAGGAATTTAAAACCAGTTAATTAAATATACATTTAATAATAAAAAAAGGCTAGTCTCTCTAGGTGTCACCAGTAGCCACAAGAGAATCAATAACTCATATGGGTTTATTAATATCCTTTATGGAAGTAAGTTTGGCTGATATGTGATCACAGATTCTCAATAATGTGTTTGAATCTGTGCTCGGAAATAAAACCACAAAGCCACTAGCTGCATCAAACTGCTACAAGCAACAATAATTAGAATAAAACCAGTATTAACTCACACAACAGGAGGAACATGCTCTTCATTAATATCTGAAGTAATGTTAAAATAGGGAGAACTATCTGAAAGACTAATCAAGCAACATATTCACGGAATATACGTTTCACCAATGTCCCATCCTCCTCTATCACCAGGCCAGCTGCCAGTGGCACAGAAAATATTCAGCACAAGCGATGGCACACTGTTCGAAGTGAGGAAAGAAGATGGTGGGGCTTAACATTGGATGTGGACCTAAGAAATTTCATGGCCTCTAATCACCACCAACAGTCATCCTATAGCAGATATATCAGTGCTCCATTATGTTAGACACCATTGGAAAAGGATAGCAAAAGCACAGAATATACTCTGAATTGGGGAACATTAAAAGAATTTTTAAAAACCCATGAACAGTTAAATTGGTTGAAAGTATGAACTAGCTGCAAGATTATGCCAGTGGCAGCTGGTGAGCGAGCTAGCGTAAGAATAGGAACTTACCATGGCTCTTTCAACAGCACCCTTCAACCCATGCCCTCTGCCACCTAAAAGGATGGGGACAGCAGATGCAGAGGAGGCCACTACCTTTAGGTTCTTCTCCAAGTCACATTACATCCTGATTTGGAATGTTATCGCTGTTCCTTCTCTGTCGCTGGATTAAAATTCTGTTAGTCCCTTCCGAACAGCTCTGTGGGTTTGCCTATATGCCAATGACTATAACAGTTCAAGAAGGCAGCTTACCACTACCTTCTCCAGGGCAATTATAAATGAACAATGAATACTGGCTGAGCCAGTGACACCCACATCTCACGAACAAATATAAACAATCATAACTACAGGTGAAATTGTTGAAGGTCATAGCTGTAAAAATGTGCTTGTGACAGGTAGGGAAAGAGCAATATAAGGAGAAAACTTACTTGACTTCATACTCACCAATCTACATTTTGCAGATGTACCTTTCCTTGACAGCAAAGTCCCAATTTCTCGATAAGGTCATTTTCCATTATATTGTGTAGCTTTGCCACAATGCTGAGTCAAGTAGATGCGGAATAGAGCTAGCAGCTCAAAACTGGGCATGCATGAGACCATCAGTCAGAAAAGAGTTTCACCACCATTTGTAACCCCATAGCCCAGCATACACCTGAACTAAGTCAGGCAAACAATATGAATTCAACACATGAGGAAATACAAGGAGCACCAGGAGTATCTAAATGTGAGGTGTTATTTGGGGGAAGCTACAACACAGGACTACATTCATGCGAAGTGGCAGGAGCAGCACACTATAGACAGAACTAAGCAACTCCATACAAATGGATCTGAGCAAAGCTCTGTTATACTGCCATATCCAGTGATAAATTGTGGTGAACAATCAAGTAGGCAAGAGATGAATATTCCATCCCCAATATGGCTGTAATTCAGCATATGAGTGCAAGAGAAAATTTGCAATTGTTTTCAGACATCAGTGCTGAATGAATGAGTTATCACGGCTTCCTTTTAAGGTCCTCACCATCACAGATGCCAGTATTCACTCAATTTGATTCACAATATATGATGTTAAAAAAAGACTGTACACCATAGATGGACCAGAGGCCAAGGGCCCCACAGTATCCTAGTATAGTGCTGAAGAGCTGAGATCCAAAACAAACTGAACCCAGCAATTTCAATATAATTATAAATTACATTTACTGAGAAAGTGGAAAATTATTCAGTTATATCCTGTTCACAAGAAGCAGGACAAATCCAATCCAACCAAAACTCAGTCCACACATAGCCTTCAGCAAAGTGAAGGAAGGTGCCAATAACAGTGCTATCAAGTGGAACATTCTCACCAATAATCTGGTTGTCAATGCTCAATGTTTTTTTTTTCCAGTCCAGGATCAGTTCGCTCCAGACACTTAACAACATCAGTTCATACATTGACAAAGAGGTGAGGTACACTGACTGCCCTTGATCTCAAGACAGCATTGACTGAATGCAGTATCAGGAAGCTCTAGTAAAACTGAAGTCCGTGGGTATCAGGGTAAAACATTCCATGGATTGGAGTCATTTTTAGCACGAAGGATGAGGGTGGTGGTAGTTGGAGGCTAACCATTTCATCCTACAGTAATTGCTGCAGGATTTTCTCAGGGAGCATTCCCAGAATTGGGAATGTTAGATATTGAAACAGTCTGTTCATGTTTCAAACTTGGATAACATTCAAGCTTGAGCTGATGAATGGCAAGTAAGATTCACTCCACACAGGTACCAGGAAATGACCATGCCCAACAAAAGAAAATCTAACAATTGTCCCTTCACATTTAAAGGCAATACCCATTGCTGAATCACTCCAACATCAACATCAAAGGTCAACAATTGACCAGAAACTTAAATATTGTGATTATGACAGCAGGTCAGATGTTGTGTATTCTGTAACATATGACTCACCACCTGGCACAAGTCAGGAGTGTGATGAAATGATCTCCACCTTGCATGCTGTCAGATTCTTAAGTATTTTTAGAGATGCACCCACTCAGGCAAGAAGTTGGTTAGCATGCAGAGTAAAATGTCCACTTGCTCACCCTCTTGTTCACCACCATAAGCATTCATTCCCTCCAACACTAGCGCACAGGGGCTGTGCATCTACAAGATAGAATGCAACATCTCGGCAATGTTTCTTTGGCAGCACCTTCCAAACTCACAACCTTTACTAGCTAGTTGGACAAAAACAGCAGGTCCAGTTACCCTCCCAGTTATTAGCTATGAGGAGAGATTGGACAAACTTGCTTTGTTTTCACTTGAACATTTAAAAATGAGGGGAGACCTGATAGAAGTTTACAAAATTAAGAGATAGGTGATAGAATGGATGGTCAGCGTCTTTTTTCCCAGGGTAGAAATGTCAATTACTAGGGAGTGGTAAGGTAAAAGGGAGCAAGTTTAAAGAAAATTGAAAGGCAGGCTTTTCACACATGGCGTGGTAAATGCCTGGAATGCGTTGCCAGAGGAGGTGGGAGAAGCAGATACAATATCAATGTTTAAGAGGCACCTTGATAGATAAATGAGTAGGCAAGGAATAGAGGGATATGGACCACATAGAGGCAAAAGGTTTTTTGCATCAAAAGACATCATCTTGGTGAGCCAAAGGGCCTATTCCTATTCTGTACTCTTCTTTGTTCTTCTTTGTTTTTTATCAAATACAATGCTGTGCTATAAAAAGAATCACTATTATTGTTGTTGGGTCAAAGTCCTGGAACTCACTGCTCAACAGCACTCTGAGTGTACCCCAATGCAAACTTCAGTGATTCAAGAAGGGAGATCACTACTACCATCTCAAGAACTTTTGGAGATGGGTAATAAATGCAGAGCATTAGAGTAATGACCACATTTTATGAAACAATTAAAAAGGAACAAAATAATTCTTTACCTTGGGACGCACAACAATTCTGTTAGGATACAGAAACTTCAGTTTTGATAGAGACACATAAAAACATAGAAACCCTGAGCAGAAGTAAGCTATTCAGCCCTTCAAATCTGCTGTGCCATTCAATAGGATCATGGCCAATCATCTATCTCAAAGGAATATTTCTATTTCCTTGATACTTTTAAAATCTAAAATGGATTGATCTCTTTATTGAATACATTCAGTGCCCCAGCCTTTACAGCAACATTGCTGTTAAGCTGATTATGCACACAGCTGCTCCAATGTTCTATGCCAGCAGTCGGTGTCAGCACCACATTCACGGCATTGACTTTCAGTTCTGGACGTCGCTGCTACATGTGGATCTCAGAGGCCTGCACAGCCAGAAAGAAAATTTGTGGAAACACTTTACCGTACAGAATTTTACAGGTTCACTACCATTTGAGTGAATAAACATTTCCTCCTTTCAGTCCTACATGTTCTCACCCATATCCTGAGCCTGTGCCCCCTCGTTCTAGCCTCCCTAATTAGGGAAGGCATCCTTTCTGCATCTAGTCTGTCCAGCCTGTTAGAATTTTATACATTTCAACCGGAATCCCTCTTATCCTTCTAAACGCAAGTGAATACAGGCCCAGTCAACCTGATCTATCCTTAAAGCACAGTCCTAGATTCCCCAGTATCAGCCTAAAGAACCACTGCTGCACTTCCTGTGTGGAAAG